CTGCACATCTCTGGACATTATGGACATTTTAGCATGGCTAGTCTTTGGACTGTGGGAGGAAACCAGAGCACCCAATGGAAACCCACGCAGACACAGGGAGAATGTGCAAACTCCCTATAGGCTGTCACCCAAGGCTGGAACCAAATCCAGGTCCCTGGCACTGTGTGGCAGCAGTGCTAACCACTGAGCCACCGTGTTGCCTGAAAGTACCAATTTAAAAAATAAATCGATTGCCTTGACATCATAGTTACAAACCTCTAGGAATACAGCCTTAGAATACTTTGAAAGCATTTTTCTATATTTTGAACAGTAGACTAGGCATCAATTTATTAAAAGCATTTTCTGCACCAAGACAGCTTACCTATGACCAGATATTAGTTGGTTATGCTATTTTCCTTTGTAAAATCAGAGCAAAAATTAAAGAAAACACACAAGATATCAGCACTTCTTATTTGGCATGAATGCCACCTAAAGGCAGATACGTGCAGCTATAATCTTGGAATTTTTAAACTACAAGTCCCTAGTTCTTAACCCAACACTATTACAGGGACTGAGGCCAGTAAAGGAGAAGCACCTTGAAAAAAAAGGTAAACAGAACAGAAAAGGGAAAAAAATTAAAAAAGAAGAAAAAAAGTAACAGAAGTAAACAAAATGTATTTAACTCTACCTCTAAACAAAAGGCAAAGACCTTGGAAGAGAAATGGAAAGAAGGCAGGCAATTGAAGTTGAGGCTGAGAGGAGAGGAGTATTAAATGGTGGAGCAGGCTCGAGGCACTCAATTGCTTATTCCTGTTCCTAGCTTTTACATTCTGATGTTCTTAAGAGAAATGGATGGTGAACACTTACTTATGGATTGGTCAACCAGTGACATTTTTAATGAATTGCAGCTATTCAAATAGCATATGCAGTTCTATTTTACAGATCAAATGATACATGATCCTGAGAAAAGAACTCTGAAAATCTTCGTTGTCATTGGCAAGGGGGAGCTGTGCAGAATTAACACATCTGATCTTTCTATGGATGAACAGAAAAACCCAAACTTCTGGAAAGCTTTCAAAGACCAGCTCAATTTAAGAGTTAACCTCAGGATTAATAGACAGCAGTTCATGTTGTAATCATGAAAGACAAAAAGGGGAAGTTGCAGGTGATGGTGCATCTGCTGCCTTAGTCCTTCCAGATAGTAGAGGTTGTGGGTTTGGAAGATGCTGTTGAAGGAGCCTAAATGAGTTACCACAATCCATCTTGTATATTGTACATACTACTGCAATTATTCATTCCCTCAAGTGCCAATGCATCTCGAAGATAGCAGCCCACTTTCACCTGAATTGTGTCAACCTTCTTGAATGTTGTTGGAGCTGCATTCATTCAGGCAAGAGGGAAATATTCCAACACACTTTTGACTTGTGCTTTGTAGATGTTTGACAGTCATTGAGGGAGCCAGGTGGTGAGTTACTCACTACAGAATTCATGGCTGCTTACAAATGTGTTATTCCAAATACCCTCTCTTCATAAAAAAAAGCCCCTATCGCTGGCAGCTGGACTTACGCTTACAACCTTTCTTGCAGGCCATAACCTTTCTCAATTTCCCGATTCTAGGAAAGACAAAGATAATGGCCAGTTCCCCTGCATTGTCCACTTTCACTTTCTTTAAATCCTTGGATGCATCTCATCTGGTCAAGTTGCCTTGTCAACTTTAAGTAACAGTACTTTGTACAATACTTCTTCCATAATAATCTGAGCCCTTCTATTGGCAGAATTCCCTTCTCAATCATCCCAGCCTGGGTAGCATCTCCCTCTTTGTAAAGATAGGTGCACAACATTCACCTCAGTAATGCCAGCTGCCTGCATGTGTAAAACCTGTTCTGGTCTACAATTGACCTGACTCCTCCTTTTCCTATTCAGCTGCACATAAGAGACTCCAGGACACACATTTATGTTGCCTACTAATGTTTTATCATTATTTCTCTTTGCTTCTCTTATTTGCTTTTTCACCTTCCCTCTGAACTTTTGGTATTTCTTCTGATACTCAGTTGTATTTTTCACCTGATGCTGATTATAAGGATACTTTTTCTTCATCTTAATTTCCTCTCTCCTTGGTCACCCATATACTGCTGAAGGAAACTCTCCCAAATGCAAACCAGGAACACTTGCCTCTCACTGCCTCAAAAAACTGCTAGTATCCTAGTCTGTATTTGGGTAATTGAAGTCCCCCATTATAGCTACCCTATAATTTTGGCATCTCTAATTTCTTGACAAGATTTGTTCCTTCACATCCTTTTGACTAGTTGCTGGTCTATAGATTACACCTAGCAATGTAATTGTGGTCTATAGACTACACCTAGCAATGTAATTGTACCATTTTTGTTTCTTAGTCTCAGCTAAATTGATTCTATCATTGAACTCTTTAAGACATTTTCTCTCTTTAGCAGTTTTCTTAACCAATACTAGCATCCCTCCCTTTCCTTCCTACCTTTTCTGAATACCTTGTCCCCAGGAATATTTAATATACAGTCTTACCTTTCCTTAGCTAAGTCTCTTATGAATGTTTCCACATTCATGTTTCCACTTAGCACTCTATATCTGCTAGTGCTCAATCTTATATGCTATACTTTACACATTCACATACATGCAGAGCAACTCTGATTAGATTTCATCTCTTTGTCCCTTCGTCTGACATCATTAATTCACCTACTGTTCTCTATGTTATTTCCAGCTACTTTTCATCATTTATATAAATGATTTGGATGTGAGCAAAGGAAGTATGGTTAGTAAGTTTGCAGATGATACTAAAATTGGAGGTGTCATGGACACCAAAAAAGGTTACCTCAGAGTACAATGGGATCTTGATCAGATGGGCCAATGGGCTGAGGATTGCCAGACCAAGTTTGAAAAACATGAGGTGCTGCATTTTGGAAAAGCACATCAGAGCAGTACTTATACGCTTAATGGTAAGGTTTCGAGGTGTGTTGCTGAACAAAGAGGCCTTGGAATGCAGGTTCATAAGTTCCTTGAAAGTGGAGTCGCAGGTAGACAGGATAGTGAAGAAGGCATTTGGTATGCTTGCCTTTATTGGTCAGTGTGTCAAGTATAGGAGTGGGAAGGTCATGTTGTGGCTGTACAGGATATTGATTAGGCCACTTTTGAAATATGGAATGCAGTTCTGGTCTCTCCACTATAAGAAGGATGTTGTGAAACTTGAAAGAATTCAGGAACGACTTACAAGGATGTTGCCAGGGTTGGAGGGCTTGAGATATAGGGAGAGGCTGAGTAGGCTGTGGCTTTTATCCCCTGGAGTATCAGAGGCTGAGGGTTGACCTTACAAAGGTTTATAAAATCAAGAGGGGCTTGGATAGGGTAAATAGACAAGGCCTTTTCTCCAGGATGGGGTAGTCCAAAACTAGACGACATAAGTTGAAGGTGAGAGGGGAAATATTTAAGAGGGACTCAAGGGGCAACTTTTCTCACGCAGAGTGTGGTGTATGTATGGAATGAACTGCCGGAGGAAGTGGTGGAGACTAGTATAATAATAGCATTTAAAAGACGTCTGGATGGGTATATTAATAGGAAAGGTTTAGACAGAGATGGGCCAAATGGGACTAGATTAATTTAGGATATCTGGTCAGCATGGACGAGTTGGACTGAAGGGTCTGTTTCCATGCTGTACAGCTGTATGACTCTGTATCTCCAAATATTTTGCAAACCATACTATTTTCTTCTATTCTATCCTGGTTCCCACATCCCTACTAAGTTAGTTTAAATCCCTCCCAATAGCACTAAGAAAATGCTTCTCAAGATATTTCCTAATCCACCCATTCAGAGATGTCATCATACACCTCTAGACCAGGTGGGACACTATCATTGCACCACAAGAGCCCTTAAAATTCTTCTCAAGGTACTCAGTCCAACTCTGTTTACGTGCAAAACAACCCCAAAGAACTGCAGATGCTCAAGAACAGAAATTATTGGAAAAGGTCATCAGTTCTGGTAGTATCTGTGCAGAGAAAACAGAATTAACATTGCAGATCCAATGACCCTTTTTGCAGAAGTAACAGTTTGTTTCCGTTCAGGTGTAACCTGTCTGGCTTGCAATTAATGCATTCAGATATACGATTCTCTATCTTGTTTGGGAGAGAAATTAAGACAACCCCCTCCCCCCCAGGAAAGGTTAATGATAATCTGGAATTTATTCCTGCAAAAGATTATGGATGATGAAAATATTGAAATGTTTCAGCTGAAGATCATTAGATCTTATTTGGTGTGGGTATCAAAGCATACGGAACGAAGCTGCTTAAATGCAGTTGAGAGACAGAACTATGGGAAAACGATACAAGTGCCTAAGTTACTCCTGTTCCTTTGAAAGGGCGTCTGAACAATTGATCCTTGCTTTAAGAGGCTAACAAAATCACCGTTCCTTTAAGAGCAAGAGTGTTTCCATTGGTAAATTACGGCAGCCTATTACCCTATATAATAAATAAACATTTATTTAAAAAAATGCAAGCTACACGCGCTGCTGATACCTAGAGGAAAGCAGAGGCGCGCGTGCGCGCCACTAATAGAGGGTGCGGTTCTGTCAGAGCGATCCTCGCCCATCAGTAGAGCATTCCCAACAGTATGACACAGTGGTCTAATTATCAAACATTAAAACTAGTGAATATACACGCTACTGCCGTTCTTTGTAAAGTGAATGGGCCATTGCACCCCCCAAGAGAGCGGAATGTTAAATTAAACAGCTAGAAATTGCAGCAAGCCCTGGACAGGTGCCTTTTAGAAGCACTGCACGATGGGTTTTGTAGTCTTCCAATTGCACGAGTGAAATTAGTCTGTATTATTATTGTCAGAGAAGTTTGCTGGTATTCTTAGGTATTTTTTCTTAGAAGTTTTATAATGTTTCTTCATTTTATAAGAAAAGTGACTGAGCCTGAAGTTCCTCTTTATGTTGTATTAGAGCTGATAATTGCTGCGGCGGTTCTGACAGTCTCCCCATAGCAGTGTGTGGCTCGTTGTGGTGTCAATCACAGCGCGTCAAGGCGCTTCCGCTAGCACTTTGGGTTGCTTCAGCGTATGATATCGTATCTTACTGTTTCATGGTGTAGAACTGGCGTGTAGCACAATGGTGTATGGATCATAGCCTTTTTCTTTTTTTTAAACAAGATTTTTTTTGTATCCAAGCAAAGAAAATTTAAATTTTTAAAAAAAACCTACCGTTTAGTGGATCTGCAAGGGATTCTCTTTTAGTTTTTATAAGAGGGGGAGAAAAACCCGGTCAAAATGTCAACGGGTAAGGAAATCGGGGGAGCCCAGCATGCTCAATACGTGGGACCATATCGACTGGAAAAAACCCTTGGAAAGGGACAGACAGGTTTGCGCAAATTTTAATGACATACACTAGTGAATGTGTTTCACTTATTATTGGTGTCAAGCTACAGGAATGTCTTGTAATTCACCTACTGCAGTGAAGTCTTGGATAGTTGGAATGTTTCTTTGTAACATGTTAAGGACGTTTATTTTTTTTTTAATTGGTGTGAATTTTTATGGATACTTGGGGGAAGAGAATGACAATTTTATTCTCAGCCAGAAGTGTTGGTGACCAGTATTGCGTGCACAGTTCCTCTGTGGTACCAACAGCCTTGCGTATAGTTTGTCGGAACTGGAGTCTGGGGATATCCCTTTCTGTGATTTCTTTTGAACAATGTTGATTTAAAGTCTAATCAGATTGGAATTTTAAAAATAGAATTGTGATGTAACGTGTTGTTTCAGCCAAGATTTTGATCATTTTTTTTCTTCCAGGGTAGCTCGATGCAATTATTTCTACCGTATTTTCTCGGGGTGCCGGTGCGGTTTCTTTCTCCAATGAAGTGGGGGGAAATGTTTAAACGTGTTATTTGTTAGATGTTTCGTCGGAGGAATTGATGCATTGTAGCATATAATGCGAAGGCAGAGCTTGCCCATCTGTTGTCTGAGAGTACAATAGGCGTTACCTTACCAGCTGCTGCCCTAGTCATTAGCAGTTTTGGGGCATGTCCGGTTTCTTTCGCGTTGTAAATCTCACTGTCCAGATGTAGTCATAAAGCCTCTTTTTTTTGAGTGCGTGTTTTGGAAACCGGGCTTTTCAGTCCATCGCGTTTTGCAATAGAGCGGAGTATTTAGCATTGTTAATCTTCTGAAGCGGCGGTAGACTGAGTCGCAGTCAACACTTCTGCGGTGTTATTGACCGCTCGCTTTACAGCCACGAATCACAACCGAACCGAAGCAGACAAACCCCCTACCTTACCCCACAATGGGTGGCTGATGATTTTCAGCACCCTGGCTGGGAGCACCACTTTAGAGGCTCCCTGATGCATTTCAGGAGCAGAGTGCACGTTTCGTGCAGAAAAGTGTAACCCGTTTCCTGACATATTGTGCATAATCCATCAGCTGAAGCCTTGCAATAAAGTAACCCTGTACAGTATCTGCAGAAAGGTGTGTGTGTGTGTGAGAGAGAGAGAGGGAGTCGGAGGGGGACACATAAGAAGGGTTACTAAGGACGCAGTTAAAAGGAAGAAAGGAGGAGGCTGAATATAGCTTGGAGGCGCGCTTGTTTGAACATCTCAACGCAGTTTGGACAGCACGGGGGCAGCCCTTCAATCTGGGTTGTTGGAAATTGATTTTTCGTTTATGGGATACAAGCAGGACACGGTTGAATGAATAAAGAGCTTTTACCGGAATCGCTGCACGTGTCCTGTTAGCGCTAGCTAAAGACCCAATACCCGCTGCCCAGACTTCTAATGCAACACCTTCTATCGACCTGGGATGGGAACAATGAAGCGGCTTGGTTATATTTAAACCATCTTTTTGACCCACGTGTCGCTGCGGATCTGATGGCCTTTCCCCACTTCCTGAAGCATTGGTTTCTCCCTGCCAGGGAGCTGTCCGCTTTCTGCCATTATAAATACAGGCTGTAGGTCCGAGCTCTCTCTCGGTCACTCCTTGAGAAGCCTCACTTCTTACTTATAACCACCTACTGTTACCGCCCCAGATGGATTTGGAATAATTTATTTATTAATAAACAGACAATTGAAACCGCGTTTCTTTTGTTTTCTCCAAACAGGGAGAAAGTAATATTTGAAGCAACGTCGTCTTCTGAAGGTTTTAGCAGATTAAGCGGGTTTCGTTATCCAGGGAGGGTCATTGGCTATTCCCCTAAATAGGGGTTAGGCTGAATAATCTTGTTGTGAGCGTGATCAATGTACCCAGGCTGATACTCGCTTTAGAATGACAGTGTGTCTCCTCGCTCTGAGAATCCACATCATTTCACGTTAAGTCCTATGCTCGTTTTGTAACGGATAAAGATGCTTTGAAAGTGGTTTGTTATTGTTTTACTTCTCCAATGCTGCATTTGAAAAAAATGGTGACGTTCGACTGGAATTTCTGTGGTTAAATTGTATTCAATGCAGTCATGTTCATACCTCAGGAAAGATAAGTGGCCGACATTATTCGTGCGGCTGGGCGATATTCTCCCTTTTAAAATATAGCCCAGAGTTCTACTAACTGGCTGAGGATGTGTTATAACGGGACGTCGAGGTTATTTTTGCACAGCGGTCATTACGTATGTAACCCCAAGGGCGCGCATTTAAACACTTCTCACCATAAAGTTGCAGTTTGTTTTATTACACCCGTTGGCTACAGTTTGGTGATTTAACTCCTTTGTAGGCCGCACTAGGATGTCTACAATAAAATAAAGTAATATGTTGTAATTTAAAAAGAGACCTTTTGCAGCCTTTCGTAAGGCAGGGAATATTGCACTTCGCTAACGCTCTACAATTCTTTGGTGGGAGTGGGAGCAAGAGGCGATTGGATGTCAAAATGTTTGTTACTTTATAGATGCGAGGTAATGCAATGGGTTGTGTGTGGCCACGGAGAGGCTCTAAATATAATTTGTGGCACTTTTGTTTTCGAAACTCTTGGAACGGTACTTGAGCAGCTCTGTTTTGGTCACAGTGGCTAACATTGATCGCATGTTGTCATTTCACCCGTGTCGATATTTTTAGTTCATGCCTCCAAACATGTTATAACACGTACGTTTGAAGCAGGTGGGACCTGAAACCCAGCCTTCTGACCCAGAGGTAAGAACACTTCCATAGCACCACAAGCGCTCTCATTTTGCTTGTGTGTATTGGCTGTAAGTCTAGACAAACCAGGAACGTGTTGACCTCTGAGTTTTGGTGTTGTTTGTGGGAGGAGGACATAGCAGAAGGAAAGGCTAGGGTTAAATGTTGCAGCTGTACAAAACTCTGGTGCGGCCGCACTTGGAGTATTGCGTACAGTTCTGGTCACCGCATTATAGGAAGGATGTGGAAGCATTGGAAAGGGTGCAGAGGAGATTTACCAGGATGTTGCCTGGTATGGAGGGAAGGTCTTATGAGAAAAGGCTGAGGGACTTGAGGCTGTTTTCGTTAGAGAGAAGAAGGTTAAGAGGTGACTTGATAGAGACATACAAGATGATCAGAGGATTAGATAGGGTGGACAGTGGGAGCCTTTTTCCTCGGATGGTGATGGCTAGCACGAGGGGACATAGCTTTAAATTGAGGGGTGATAGATATAGGACAGATGTCAGAGGTAGGTTCTTTACTCGGAGAGTAGTAAGGGCGTGGAATGCCCTGCCTGCAAAAATAGTAGACTCGCCCACTTTAAGGGCATTTAAATGGTCATTAGATAAACATATGGATGATAATGGAATAGTTTAGGTTAGATGGGCTTCAGATTGGTTTCACAGGTCGGTGCAACGTCGAGGGCCGAAGGGCCTGTACTGCGCTGTAATGTTCTATGTTCTATGTTCTAAATGCAAGATACAAATAAATTGGGCACCTCTTAAAATGTCAGAGGATTGATTGGTGTGGGAAATGGAAACTATGTCATCTTTTAGAAAATCGAGAGGTATTCCTAAATGTGGGTTAGCCCATGGATAATGTGGCTGTGTAACCACATCAAGGAATATTAGCCAAAAATTTGATTTTCCAGCACTCGGTATCCCCCTCACTATCATTTTGTAAAGTGAAAAACAGGCTCCATTTTCATTTTGCACCTTAGGAAGTATCAAATATTTCCATGAAGTATATTTTGAACTAATTTTGTTTGGATTTTTTGTTTGGAATTACTGACAATGCTAGCAAATATATGGGCACTTCAATTTGGTAACCTGATATTTATGTCAAAGCCTTGCAGAGTGGGCATGACAGATTATGTACTCCTCTGCTTAACAATGTGCCATGTGATAATTTTAGAAGATCACCCTCATCTTCGAATGTGACAGTTGAGATTGAATCTGTCAAATCAGGCAGAAATTTATACAATTGGGAGAATTTAGTTGCAACTGTTCAAAATAACTGCACATTAAACCATTGTGATTAGACAAGGACATTTTAAAGCCATCAGACTGGTATGAATTCAAATATAGCTTTTAAAAGTGAAAAGTAAATGTTCAGATCTACTGAATCCCCCAGTTTGGGGAAATTGATTGAGTGGCAGGAGACAGAATGGAGATAATGACAGATATACTAATCGGCAAGATGTAACTAGTGCTATCCTGCAACCATCTCTGTTGGGGTTTCAATCCTTCATTGTTTATTAAAGGCATATAATAGAATTGGAAACTACATATCCAAGTTTACTGCTGTCACTGTTATGTGACATTGAGTATTCAAGGTGGGTGCATAAAGTTACAAGTTTAAGTATATGGACAAAACTGGTAAATTAATTTCAACGTAGGTAAAATGGGGTGATCCAATTTGGACCTGGAAAAGATGGGACAGAATATTTTAAATGGTTTAAAAAGCTAGAAAGTGTGGAATCTATAACCGTGAGATAACAAGGTGTAGAACCGGATGAACACAGCAGGCCAAGCAGCATCATGGGAGCAGGAAGGCTGACGTTTCGGGCCTAGGCCCTTGATCAGACCCTTTTCTGATGAAGAAGCACATATTATACAACAACTGTATAAGGTGCTGATGACTCCATATGTGGAGTGCTTCGAGCAGTTCTGCGAATTACACTTGGGAAGGATCTGTTTACCTGTAGGGGGGAAAAGTGCAGCATAGACGTACCAAAATAAAAACTAGACTTCAAGTAGTAAATTCAACAAACCAAGGTTGAATTACCCTGAAACTTAGAAGGCTTGAGGTGATTTTGGTCAAAGCCTTACTAAGAGGAATATTTATACTATAGATGGAGAGAAATTGTTCATAGTAGTTAAAGAATTGGGGACTTGGGGCCTACCCTAAGATAATTAGAGACAGACAAACCTTTCAAGAGTAAAGAGTATTTCTGCACAAAAGGAATAGAAGTTTGGAATGCCCTTCTGAAAATGCAATTAGTGATAGATCC